ATGGCACTGCCAGAGCAATGTATTCTTTTTAAAATGGCACCGCTGGCACAATGTATTATTTTTTAAAATGGCACCGCCGGCACAATGTATTACTTTTTAAAATGGCACCGCCGGAGCAATGCATTTTTTTAAAAATGGCACCGCTGGCACAATGTATTATTTTTTAAAATGGCACCGCCGGGGCAATGTATTACTTTTCGAAATGGCACCGCCGGAGCAATGTATTTTATTTTATTTCAAAAATGACACCGCCGGGGCAATTGTTTTTTTTATTAAAATGGCACCGAGGCAATGTATTCCTCTTTAAAACACCACCACTGGAGCAATATGCTCTGCCTTTGAAATTGCTCTGGCAGAGTAGTACTTGCATATTTTTTAGAAATACAAAAATCATGTTTAGGGCAAAGAACACTAGAATTAAACAGACAGTTGATACATATGATTACTAGTAAATGGGTGGTACTGCTGAGGTACTCTTGTTTACTTCTGCATATGTTTTCTATGGGGGGACTGAGGGGTGGATTCTATAGGGTTAATGAGGATCATAGGATTGTAGTAGGGTTTTAAAATTTATGTAGGATTGCTCTAGGAATGGAGGTAGGATTGGAAGTAGGATTGGAGGTAGGATTGGAAGTAGGATTGGAGGTAGGATTGGAAGTAGGATTGGAGGTAGGATTGGAAGTAGGACTGATGTAGGATTGGTTGTAGGAATGGAGAGAGGAATGGAGGTGGGAATGGAAGTGGAAATATTTGTGGGAATGGAGGTAGGAATGGCCGAAGAAATGGATACAATGTGATATGCATGTGTGCAGTACTTTTGCATAAACAAATTTGTATGCAAGTGCCTGCATCTGTGTGTTGGACTAAGCTGAACAGATTATTGGACGCACAAAACGTGCCCAGACACGTGACATTTGGATGAGTATTGGGCAAGTTATGCTGCAATTAATATTATATGCACCTGAGCAGTACTTGTCAATTCGTTCTATCCCATGATGCTGCCTGCGTCTCTCTGTTCGTCCAAGACGAACGGGTTATTGGACGCACAGAACGTGCCCAAACGCGTGACATATTTGAGTGAGTATTGGGCAGGTTATGCTGCAATCAATATTATACGTGACTGAGCAGTACTTGTCAATTCGTTTTTTCCCACGTAGCTGCCTGTGTCTCTCTGTTCGTCCACGACGAACAGGATATTGGACGCATAAAATGTGCCCAGATACGTGACATTTGAGTAAGTATTGGGCAAGTTATGCTGCAATCGATATTTTACACTACTGAGCAGTATGTCTGAATTTATTTTTTCCCGTGTTAGTGCGTGTGTTTCTCTGTTCGTCCAAGACGAACGGGCTACTGGACGCACAAAAGGAACCGAAACACGTGACATTTGTGTAAGTATTGGGCAGGTTATGCTGCAATCGATATTATAAGCGACTGAGCAGTAATTGTCAATTTGTTTTTTCCCACGTAGCTGCATGTAGTGCCTCTCTGTTCGTCCACGACGAACAGGATGTTGGACGCATAAAACGAGCTCACGAATGTGACATTTGAGTGAGGATTGGGCAACTTATGCTACAAGGATGATTTATGCAGCTGAGCAGTACTTGTGAATTCATTTTTTCGCATGAAGTTGCCTGCACTTCTCTGTTCGTCCGACGACGAACAGGTTATTGGACGCACAGAACGTGACCAAGAACGTGAGAATCGAGTGAGTATTGGGCGACTTATGCTGCAATCGATATTTTATGTAGTTGTGCAGTACTTGTGCAGAAGCAAAGCTGCATGCAAGTGCCTGCGCTTCTGTGTTCGTCTGCGACGAACAGGATCTTGGACGCACAAAACCAGCCTACGAACGTGATATTTGAGTGAGGATTGGGCAAGCTATGCTGCAAGTGATATTTTATGCAGCTGAGCAGTACTTGTGAATACGTTTTTTCGCATGAAGGTGCCTGCACTTCTCTGTTCGTCCGAGACGAACAGGTTATTGGACGCACAGAACGTGACCAAGAACGTGAGAATCGAGTGAGTATTGGGCGACTTATGCTGCAATCGATATTTTATGCAGTCGTGCAGTACTTGTGCAGAAACAAATGTGCATGCAACTGCCGGTGGTTCTCTGTTCGTCCCAGACGAACTGAATATTGGACGCACAAATCACACCCAAGAACACAATATTCGAGTGAGTATTGGGTGACTTATGCTGCAATCGATATTTTATGCAGTCGTGCAGTACTTGTGCAGAAACAAATGTGCATGCAACTGCCTGTGGTTCTCTGTTCGTCCCAGACGAACTGAATATTGGACGCACAAATCAAACCAAGAACGTGAGAATCGAGTGAGTATTGGGCGACTTATGCTGCAATCGATATTTTATGCAGTCGTGCAGTACTTGTGCAGAAACAAATGTGCATGCAACTGCCGGTGGTTCTCTGTTCGTCCCAGACGAACTGAATATTGGACGCACAAATCACACCCAAGAACACAATATTCGAGTGAGTATTGGGTGACTTATGCTGTAATCGATATTTTATGCAGTCATGCAGTACTTGTGCAGAAACAAATGTGCATGCAGCTGCCTGCACATCTCTGTTTGTCCCAGACGAACAGAATATTGGACACACAAATAAAACCCAAGAACACAATATTCGAGTGAGTATTGGGTGACTTATGCTGCAATCGATATTTTATGCAGTTGTGCAGTACTTGTGCAGAAACAAATCTGCATGCAGCTGCCTGTGGTTATCTGTTCGTCCCAGACGAACTGAATATTGAACACACAAATGAAACCCAAGAACACAATATTCTAGTTAGTATTGGGTGACTTATGCTGCAATCGATATTTTATGCAGTTGTGCAGTACTTGTGCAGAAACAAATGTGCATGCAACTGCCTGTGCTTCTGTGTTCGTCCCAGACGAACAAAATATTGGATGCACAAATCAAACCCAAGAACGCAATATTCGAGTGAGTATTGGGCAGGTTATGCTGCAATCAATATTATACGTGACTGAGCAGTACTTGTCAAGTCGTTTTTTCCCACGTAGCTGCCTGTGTCTCTCTGTTCGTCCACGACGAACAGGATATTGGACGCACAAAATGTGCCCGGATACGTGACATTTGAGTAAGTATTGGGCAATTTATGCTGCAATCGATGATTTACACTAGCTGAGCAGTATTGTTAATTTATTTTTTCCCATGTTAGTGCGTGTGTTTCTCTGTTCGTCCAAGACGAACGGGCTATTGGACGCACAAAAGGAACCCAAACACGTGACATTTGTGTAAGTATTGGGCAGGTTATGCTGCAATCGATATTATAAGCGACTGAGCAGTAATTGTCAATTTGTTTAAGCCGCATGTAGTGCATGTGCTTCTGTGTTCGTCCGCGACGAACAGGATGTTGGACGCATAAAACGAGCTCAGACATGTGACATTTGAGTAAGTATTGGGTGACTTATGCTACAATGGATGATTTATGCAGCTGAGCAGTACTTGTTAATTCATTTTTTCCCACAATGTTGCCTGGGTTTCTCTGTTCGTCCACGACGAACAGATTATTGGACGCACAAAACGTGACCCAGAACGTGAGAATCGAATAAGTATTGGGCGACTTATGCTGCAATCGATATTTTATGTAGTTGTGCAGTACTTGTGCAGAAGCAAAGCTGCATGCAAGTGCCTGCGCTTCTGTGTTCGTCTGCGACGAACAGGATCTTGGACGCACAAAACCAGCCTACGAACGTGATATTTGAGTGAGGATTGGGCAAGCTATGCTGCAAGTGATATTTTATGCAGCTGAGCAGTACTTGTGAATACGTTTTTTCGCATGAAGGTGCCTGCACTTCTCTGTTCGTCCGAGACGAACAGGTTATTGGACGCACAGAACGTGACCAAGAACGTGAGAATCGAGTGAGTATTGGGCGACTTATGCTGCAATCGATATTTTATGCAGTCGTGCAGTACTTGTGCAGAAACAAATGTGCATGCAACTGCCTGTGGTTCTCTGTTCGTCCCAGACGAACTGAATATTGGACGCACAAATGAAACCCAAGAACGTGATATTTGAGTGAGGATTGGGCAAGCTATGCTGCAAGTGATATTTTATGCAGCTGAGCAGTACTTGTGAATACTTTTTTTCGCATGAAGGTGCCTGCACTTCTCTGTTCGTCCGAGACGAACAGGTTATTGGACGCACAGAACGTGACCAAGAACGTGAGAATCGAGTGAGTATTGGGCGACTTATGCTGCAATCGATATTTTATGCAGTCGTGCAGTACTTGTGCAGAAACAAATGTGCATGCAACTGCCTGTGGTTCTCTGTTCGTCCCAGACGAACTGAATATTGGACGCACAAATGAAACCCAAGAACACAATATTCTAGTTAGTATTGGGTGACTTATGCTGTAATCGATATTTTATGCAGTTGTGCAGTACTTGTGCAGAAACAAATGTGCATGCAACTGCCTGTGCTTCTGTGTTCGTCCCAGACGAACAAAATATTGGATGCACAAATCAAACCCAAGAACGCAATATTCGAGTGAGTATTGGGCAGGTTATGCTGCAATCAATATTATACGTGACTGAGCAGTACTTGTCAAGTCGTTTTTTCCCACGTAGCTGCCTGTGTCTCTCTGTTCGTCCACGACGAACAGGATATTGGACGCACAAAATGTGCCCGGATACGTGACATTTGAG